AGTCTTTGCAACTTTACAGATCTTCTTTATGCACCAAGAGCTTGTAACACTCCAAAGAGAAAGAAAAAATTGAAATCGCATCATATGACCCCTTTAAATCTCAAACCATGTATCAACCCTTGTCTCATTCACATAACAGCAGTTTCCTAACTACGTACATTCTAAAAAAGAAATATTTCAAGTTTGTTGCCACACTATAATGCTATTAAAGGGATAGTTCACCCAAAAAGTGAAATTCTGTTCACTCATTACTCACCCTCCATGTCGATCCATTCCAAACCTGAATGACTTTCTTTGGTCTGTGGAAAATAAAATATATATTTTTTTTTTAAATGTTGTGTTTTGAAAATGCATTTCTTTTCCATGTTCCACAGAAGAAAGAATGAATAATTTCAAAAAGGCTTCACTTTTAGGTGAACTGCCCCTTTAAAACATTACCTAAATGTTTGCATTTTTATTTCTTACATCAATGTCAAAAGGAAACATTAGAATCTGTCCATTTCATCTAATCTATCTGACCTCTTCACACTCAGCAGACCTGGCAGCAGCATTGCTTGCAGAGCTGTAATATATTTAACATTGTGCTGACATAGACTGGCTGGTCTCTGACTCTGCGCTGATGCAAAGCTCGACAACAGAAATAATAGAGCTTTAACTTTCACAATCAGACTACTCCGTGAAATCAAGACCCGCCAGAAGCTTTAAAAATGTTTTCATCCCTGATGCAGCTAGAATATTTAATACGAGAGAAACAGACAAATGACAAAATGAGAAAAAGCAGTGATTTCTGCTACAGTGGGCATCCTGAGACACATGCTGATGGAAAAGAAGATTAATGATCTAAATAATTAAAAAGGAATCGGCACAGCTTAGTATAAGCAACACTGCAGTATGCTCCTCATAATAAGCAACTCAATCCTTCACCATAATGACATGACCTTCATTTTTGCACTCGGGGTTGGCTGGGTGATGAGAATGAACAAAACAGACCAGTGTAGTTATTGTTAACTAAAACAATAAAAAAACATGTTCATTAATTAAAATAAAGCTGAAATAAAAAATAAATAAATATTATTTGAAAAACTAAATGCAAGTAAAAATGATAAAAGCTCATTAAACAGTCCAATTATATTATTAATAAATAACAATATTATGAATTAATAAACAGGGATCTAATACATTTTTTTGGGAAAATGTGCAGTCGCCGAGTCAGTATCGGGACAGTGTGGTCTCAACTCCCTCTGGTGCAGTGTGAGTCATAACGTAGAGCGCAGCTGTTAGATCTATCTGTTTGAACTCTGCACCGATGCAGAAGACTACATTCTCAGTCTCTCTCATATTTTAAATCATCAGCAAACTCTATCATTTCAAATAAATACACAAATAAATGAATTAATATTCAGATCATTAATCAAATGGAAAATGAACTTTTATAGCTTACATATAATGACTGCATGATTTGGAGCACAAATCCTGGGTAATGGCTTTTTTGGCTATAGTGTGTGGCTCATAAATTAAGCAGAAATGTCTGAAGAAAGTGCCTTAGGCTGGCCACAATAAAAAGGCCACTCTAAAATGTTCAGTTTTATCACATATACAGCGTGTATGGTGTCGTGTGGGTGAGCGGTTTGCTGATGTCAACGTTGTGGATCGAGTGGCCTGCGTGAGGCAAATGGTGGTCACACCAGATACTGACTGGTTTTCGGACCCCCCCGGACCCCCCAATACAGTAAAACTGCACATTTTAGAGTGGCCTTTTATTGTGGCCAGCCTAAGGCACACCTGTGCAATAATCATGCTGTCTAATCAGCATCCTGATATGCCACACCTGTGAGGTGGATGGATTATCTCGGCAAAGGAGAAGTGCTCACTAACACAGATTTAGACAGATTTGTGAACAATATTTGAGAGAAATAGACCTTTTGTGTACATAGAAAAAGTCTTAGATCTTTGAGTTCAGCTCATGAAAAATGGGGGCAAAAACAAAAGTGTTGCATTTATAATTTTGTTCAGTGTATATAAAAAACATTAAATTAACACTGAATTCACATTATTTAACTCAAGAATCATTGAGTTCATCAGTTTAATTCATAAACAAATCCTTAGGTTAGCAGTTGTGGTCACTATTATTGTATGGAAAAAGACCCGTGTAGAGTCTTCAAAATATATACTTTTTTTTTTTTGTTACAGAAGAAAGAAAATCAGGTTTGGCATGAAACAAAAAAAAATTAATAAATACTATCAGAATGCTTTCTTACAGAACTATTCCTTTAATAAATCTGGTACCTCCAACAACGAAAATGATTGGGCCCATCTTATGTTTGCCTAAATCTAATGGGAGCTAGATTAAGATGGATTAGGAAATGATCAGAACTAATTTGATTATGAAGTCATTTATCAGGACATCCCTCATGGGTCCTAAGAGAGCAGTGATCACTCAGTCAGTGGATTGAATGGAGCTAAATGCATCCAGTGTGGATGGATAAATGCAGCATGAATGCTCTGAAGTGAATCAAACTCAGTAGTTGTAATCAGTGCAATCAGCTTAAGTATATCTATACAAAAGCAGTAATCAATATTACATTTATCTCACAAGCAATTACAAATATGAAATACACCATGTTTAATGTCAATATAGAGAATTAATTTAGGTAAAGTGGGACACTTTCTGATGATTTGTCATTGCCATTGTTTTGATTTAAGTAAGATCCAAATGGCTACATCAATGTCATTCCATACTAGTTTAGGATTAACTAAAAGGGATAGTTCACCCAAAAATAAAAAAACCTCTGTCATCATTTATTCACCCTCAAATTGTTCCAAACCTGTATGAGTTCCAGTTGACAGTATTTGTTTTCATACTATGGAAGTCTGTGGTTACCGTCAACTGTTTGGTTACCAACATTCTTCAAAATGTCTTCTTCTGTGTTCAACAGAAGAAAGAAACTCATACAGCTTTGGAACAAGTGGAGGGTGAGCAAACGATGACAGAATTTTCATTTTGGGGTGAATGAACCCTTTAACTCTTTCCCCGCCATTGACGGAATTTTCTGGCTTTCCGTGATTTCACTGGTGTACGGCAGGAGGCGCTATTATGCATCTTCTGAAAGAGTACTGAATCCCTAGATCAAAACATGGTGAAGAAGAAGCAGAAACGAGCTATCGCGTATGTAAGCAGATGCATATGTGAAATAACGCGATCATCAAACATGAATCATTATATAAATCAAACCGTGCAAGCTTTGGATGTGTTGATGGAAGCAATCAATTCCATCTATGTTTTGATCATCATTCTGAATCTGATCCAGATGTAGTCTTTTACAAAAAAGCAATTTTCTCAGCTTTTTGTTCAAAATATTGCTTTTTTCATGAAACTTACCCACATTCAAGTGTTGATGAAAAGAAGATTGCATGAAGCTAGAATAAAAGTTTTTTATTTATTTTTTTGCTTAGAAGCAGAGGCTCTGTTCTTTGTTTTGACATATTGCATGTTCAGATATTCATACAACAAAATATTCTGGGTGCCATTACTTTTGTGAAATGATCAAAAACACTGGTGGTGGATGGAATTTTAAAAAAGCTTCTTTTTTTAAGCTTTCTTTAATGAAAGAATCAATGTTATATTGTTTACAGTATAAACTTTTAATTTTAATGTGAGTTAAATAATTAGTAATTTATTTGATTTCAGTTTTAGTTTTCATTTAAATAATTTTAGTACTTCAGCTTAAACCTATTTCAGTTTATTGCTAGTCACTTAGATGGTTGATCAGTTATTTCATTTCTAATTTTCAGCTTTGAGTTTTTTAAATTATATTTTACTTCAGATTTATTTTAATTATTGATTAAAATATTCATATTTCCTTACTATTGTAAGACATGTTAAGACAGGTATTGAGAGAAGAATAAATTTAAGTGCATTCACCCTACAGAGTGAAATATATTATTGAGTATGCTCATTGTAGCACCAATGTAGTAAGGAAATGCTTTGGAAGATTGGCCTGCATGCTGAGAAGATGTAGAGCAGTTGTCATGGAGACAGCCATTCAGCCACTATTCTAGAATGTAAGCGCCACAAGTGGTGTGATTGGCTTTCCTAGCTTATGTGTTTGTGGTGAGATAGACAGACGGGACGGCACGGTGACATTACACAACCACAAGGCAAGCAGCCTCAATGGCAAGTCTACTTGCAACAAATAGCATCCTGTGCAAAGGAGTAGGTGATAATTACCAGAGAGAGTAAAGAGATTATAGTGATGCACTATGAGACACACTGTGCAGTTTCACCTGCTTTAATATGTTCGAAATAATGTAAACTTGCTTGGTTGTGATAAAGACTACACATGATGATCTTTTTAGATCTTCACAAATCCACTTTTAAGGACACTTTCTCTGCAGTCCGCAAGTCCTTACAGGGATTCAAGGTCATACTGCACCCTAGGCCCTAAAACTACACTGTCCCTGTCACGACTCAGCGCAAGCCGACGCGCTGAAACCAAATTAGAAATAAAGCATTACTCAGGGCTAGAGAACGACAAATGATAAGTTATGAAAACACAGCCCTATATTAGAATAGTATGAAAGCGCAATACCAAAACAAAAGCAAGATGCACACGCATGCTCGCTGCAGGGAAACATCTGCTGTGCGCGCGCACATCGAAACACCGAAACCCAAAATGTGTGCGAAACACACGGTGCAAATAAACACCATTTAGCGTGCGAATGTGAAATATATTTTTGCTCTGTGCGTTCAGATATTATATAAACCCTGTGCCTGGCGCGTCACAGTCCTTGGTTTGTGCTACACACGGGAAATGCAGGAGTCCTTCGCTACAACGATACATCAGGATTCGCCCGTCATACTGCAATGCAAAACATTTGACATTTACCTGGTTGCAGCAAACCGGAGAGAATCAGCTTGCATTCATGTAAACAGCAGTTTTGTCGTTATTACCCGGGTGCACGTCCCCGTCAAGGACTCCGCCACAGCGGTGCTCCGCTGCTCGGGTGGGCGAGTCGACGGGGCGGGTGCTGCTGTTGACAATGAGAGGGATTCTGGCGCGTGAGGTTTGTTTGAGAGCCTGGTGAGGGAAGACGATGGCTGATATGAAAGCAGATGCGTAATATTACGACGATCTCCTTAAAGGGGACCAGACCACTTTAAGTTGTGAGGACATGCGGTGTTATGTTCCGTTTCATTATTTCCGAGGGTTAACATTTTAAAGGAATTGTTGTCAGTAATGTTCAGATAGTCTTAATGTGACCGCAACCGAATTGTCTTTTGACGCCCAATCACCAAAACGCCAACTGTCAAAACTGTAAATATAAAAAGATAAATAATGACATAATGAAATATTTGTATTTTTCGAAAATCTAGAACAGGGCTTTCCAAACTCGGTCCTGGAGGGCCGGTGTCCTGCAGAGTTTAGCTCCAACCCTAATTAAACACACCTGAACCAGCTAATCAAGCTCTTACTAGGCATAGAAACTTCCAGTCAGGTGTGTTGAGGCAAGTTGGAGCTAAACTCTGCAGGACATTTACAGTATAAACTTTTAATTTTAATGTGAGTTAAATAATTAGTAATTTATTTGATTTCAGTTTTAGTTTTCATTTAAATAATTTTAGTACTTCAGCTTAAACCTATTTCAGTTTATTGCTAGTCACTTAGATGGTTGATCAGTTATTTCATTTCTAATTTTCAGCTTTGAGTTTTTTAAATTATATTTTACTTCAGATTTATTTTAATTATTGATTAAAATATTCATATTTCCTTACTATTGTAAGACATGTTAAGACAGGTATTGAGAGAAGAATAAATTTAAGTGCATTCACCCTACAGAGTGAAATATATTATTGAGTATGCTCATTGTAGCACCAATGTAGTAAGGAAATGCTTTGGAAGATTGGCCTGCATGCTGAGAAGATGTAGAGCAGTTGTCATGGAGACAGCCATTCAGCCACTATTCTAGAATGTAAGCGCCACAAGTGGTGTGATTGGCTTTCCTAGCTTATGTGTTTGTGGTGAGATAGACAGACGGGACGGCACGGTGACATTACACAACCACAAGGCAAGCAGCCTCAATGGCAAGTCTACTTGCAACAAATAGCATCCTGTGCAAAGGAGTAGGTGATAATTACCAGAGAGAGTAAAGAGATTATAGTGATGCACTATGAGACACACTGTGCAGTTTCACCTGCTTTAATATGTTCGAAATAATGTAAACTTGCTTGGTTGTGATAAAGACTACACATGATGATCTTTTTAGATCTTCACAAATCCACTTTTAAGGACACTTTCTCTGCAGTCCGCAAGTCCTTACAGGGATTCAAGGTCATACTGCACCCTAGGCCCTAAAACTACACTGTCCCTGTCACGACTCAGCGCAAGCCGACGCGCTGAAACCAAATTAGAAATAAAGCATTACTCAGGGCTAGAGAACGACAAATGATAAGTTATGAAAACACAGCCCTATATTAGAATAGTATGAAAGCGCAATACCAAAACAAAAGCAAGATGCACACGCATGCTCGCTGCAGGGAAACATCTGCTGTGCGCGCGCACATCGAAACACCGAAACCCAAAATGTGTGCGAAACACACGGTGCAAATAAACACCATTTAGCGTGCGAATGTGACATATAGTTTCGCTCGGTACATTCAGACATCATATAAACCCTATACCTGGCGCGTCACAGTCCTTGGTTTGTGCTACACACGGGAAATGCAGGAGTCCTTCGCTACAACGATACATCAGGATTCGCCCGTCATACTGCAATGCAAAACATTTGACATTTACCTGGTTGCAGCAAACCGGAGAGAATCAGCTTGCATTCATGTAAACAGCAGTTTTGTCGTTATTACCCGGGTGCACGTCCCCGTCAAGGACTCCGCCACAGCGGTGCTCCGCTGCTCGGGTGGGCGAGTCGACGGGGCGGGTGCTGCTGTTGACAATGAGAGGGATTCTGGCGCGTGAGGTTTGTTTGAGAGCCTGGTGAGGGAAGACGATGGCTGATATGAAAGCAGATGCGTAATATTACGACGATCTCCTTAAAGGGGACCAGACCACTTTAAGTTGTGAGGACATGCGGTGTTATGTTCCGTTTCATTATTTCCGAGGGTTAACATTTTAAAGGAATTGTTGTCAGTAATGTTCAGATAGTCTTAATGTGACCGCAACCGAATTGTCTTTTGACGCCCAATCACCAAAACGCCAACTGTCAAAACTGTAAATATAAAAAGATAAATAATGACATAATGAAATATTTGTATTTTTCGAAAATCTAGAACAGGGCTTTCCAAACTCGGTCCTGGAGGGCCGGTGTCCTGCAGAGTTTAGCTCCAACCCTAATTAAACACACCTGAACCAGCTAATCAAGCTCTTACTAGGCATAGAAACTTCCAGTCAGGTGTGTTGAGGCAAGTTGGAGCTAAACTCTGCAGGACACCGGCCCTCCAGGACCGAGTTTGGACAGCCCTGATCTAGAATAAATATTTATTTTTTTATATTTTCGAGCGGAAAGCACCCAAGCAGTCTATTATTGAATGCTCTAACTTCGAATATGGTTTGTGTTTACTGAAACGCTATTAAAATAGGCCTATGTAGACTATTAAAAGAAGGCTGTTTTGCTTTCAAGACATTTCCCCCTTCATCCAAACACATTTTTGGGGGGGCTGTCTTTACATTTTAAAAGTAAACGTGGTTACAACCTGCAGAAAAGTTCATTGTACTTAGTTACTGAAGAAGAAATCAAGAGGTAAATATCAAAGTCGATTAGAGAAAAGTTAAATAGAAAAGAAGCAAACATTTTGAATAGAATGATGTGAAATCACTTTTGACAGTGTGCTCTTCGATGCGGTAGTAATCAAGGTAACCCTTAAAATAACCACCTAATCTAAAAATAATAAGCACAGATTTTCCAGGCATTACATTCCCATGGGACTCTAGTTTGCTTTACGTCCGCCTAGTAAGATATCATGTATCCTAACGCCAGACTATGGGCATTAGAGTAACAGGAGAAACTGAGAGTCGCCTTTTCAGCACCACGGACAGCACTCTCCAATATCTTCTCAGTGGTTGGATACTGCCAATAGGACAGGTGCCGATTAAGCTTGTTTGTTGTTGTTGTAAAGTACCCAAGCAAAATAAAAAAATAATAAAAAAATAAATGAATGAAATTAAATTAAATAAAAAAATAATAGTAAAAAAAAAAAAGACAAACAAACAAACAAACAGCAACAACAACAAAAAAAAACCTTGGAACAGAATGTTCTATATTTATATTTCTAAAACTAATTCTTTGGTCTCAAAATTAATGTTTTGTCCATGATCTGCCACAAATAGATGATCTGCAATCTATACTTTACTTAATTCAATTATTATTTTATTGTCTATTAAAATTATATAGCAATATATTTAATTTCTGCCTAATTTAATTTCTTTAATTTCTTAACTGCCTCGCGTTAAACCCTCGAGCTTTTATTTTGGCGGGAAACGACAGGAAGCCAAATTAGGTGAGTAATTAAAAATGATCATATTGTGTTTGTTAAATGGGACTCAATCCACTCTTGTAATGAAACAGATAAAACAGAGTATGCCTTCCCCACGACTCCACCTAACAAAATGACACGTGGTCATCCATTTTAATTTCTTTTTCTTATAGTCTTTGTATTAGTGCCTGTGTTAATGCATTAAGTATTTATGTAATTTTTTTTATACAGGAAGCTGCATATTTCAAAGCACTCTGAGCAATAGGTAATTACATAATTCTTTACAGTTAATTCAGAGTCACATGTTATAAATTATATATAGCTTTTTGAATGAAAAAGATGGCAAATGTTCCCAGTTGTTGTTTTATTGTCTGTTATAATTGACAGGCCAATTGTTTAGCATGTAGTCAAGTTCCTCAGAAACTACAGTTTTTGCAGATGGTATTGACATTCTTCAGTTTTTATGAATATATTATATGGCTGTGCTGCTTGGATATTTACGGTAGGCTAGGTTTTATAATAAATGTTTTTCAGACTGTTTCCTCAAGTAAAGAAAGCAAAACAGCATTGGTGATGTTTCCCAGTCATCATCAATGAAATCAAAACTGAAATTTAATTAATTCAGAAGTTCCCAACGGTCAAAAGATTGCCAGCATTATCTGTTCTGTTCAACATGTCCTTGTTAATGGTTTGTTTGTGTGTGTGTGTGTGTGTGTTGATGAGCTGGGATAGGCTGATGGGTTTTTTTCCCCCCAAAAATTCATACTTTTTAATGATTGATTAGCATACTCTTAACAATTCAGTAATTAATCTCCTAGTGCCATTAACTGGCTCAGTATTTAGGCACTTGAATTTATATTTATGATTTCTGTGTATATTTAGTATTCAGTTTTACTTTTATTATAAAATGCTCTGTTAATGTATGAACATATTAATGTTTTTGTGGTTGTTTTTGAATGAACGCACCTTGTGATAAAAAACTGGGGCCATATATATATATATATATATATATATATATACACACTGTTGTTCAAAATACACACAAGCAAGAGACAAGAAAGAATGAAAGAGTAAATGAACAAGCTATTTATTGGCTGGTTGCAGGCTGAACTGGTCTTAAAAAATCTGTAGCCATTTGAAATTAGAGGCAAGCACAGCATTTAAATTGCAGTCCAAACAAAGATGCTACATACATGTAGCATGAGCAGTTATTTTTTTTAATTTAAATTAGATTGTACAATAACACGATTTAAAGCAAACAGAGTGGTCTGACTTTAGCTTTGTGAAATTATGCTAAAAATGCAATTTCAATCTCTGACAGCAGGTGGTGCTTATGGAACAGCTGCAATTTAGCATTTCCTTGGTTACCGCTGTAAATAAATCAGCGCTGCACTTATTAATACTTTAATACATAGGTCTTCAACCCTGTCCCTGGGGACCCACTGTCCTGCAGAATTTATTTCCAACCTGCTTCAGCACACCTGGCCTGTGAGTTTTCAAGTGATCTTGAAGACCTTGACTAGCTGGGTCAGGTGTGTTTGATTAGGGTTGGAGCTGAACTCTGCAGGACAGTGGGTCCCCAGGAACAGGGTTGAAGACCTATGCTTTAATATGTAGG